ACTGGGTTGCTTCTACTTTTTGGCTACTCTGAGTAATGCTGCTATGAACATGGGTGTACAAATATCTATTTGAGTTCCTGCTTTGAATTCTTTTGGGTATATATTCAGAAGTAGAATTGCTGGATCATATGGTAATTCTATGTTTAATGTTTTTTTTAAGAACTGCTATACGGTTTTCCACAGTGGCTGCATCATTTTACATTCCCAACCAGCAGTGCACAAGGGTTCTAATTTCTGTACTTCCTCATGAACACTTGTTATTTTGTTTTTGCTTTTATGATAGCCATCCTAAAGGGTGTCAAGTGATATCTAATTGTGGTTTTGATTTGCATTTCCCAAATGATTAATGAATGATATCAAGCATCTTTTCATGTTCTTGTTGGCCATTTGTATATCTTCTTTGGAGAAAAGTCTATTCAAGTCTTTGTCCATTTTTAAATTGGATTGTTTGAATTTTTTGTTGTTGTGACACAGGCATTCTTTACATATACTGGATATCAATCTACTATCAGATATATGATTTTCTCCCATTCCTGTGGGTTTCATTTTCACTCTGTTGATAAGAGGCCTTTGAAACACTCAAGTGTTTATTTTTGTTGTAGTACAATTTGCCTATTTTTAATTTTGTTGTTTGTGTTTTTGGTGTCTTTGCTTAACATTTTATTCCCAGTGCCTATTTCATAAGAGGCACTTGGTAAATATTTATTGAATCAAAGACATAGAAAGATTGGTAGAGCCATAGATATGGATATAATTGTCTCATTATATGCAGTAGTTATGAACTATAAAGTCCTCGTGAATATCAAGTTACTAAACACTCAGCATTCTCTTACGGGAAATGCAGGGTTAGGTTCTTTCAAGCCTCTGTTTATACCATTTTCATCAATTAATCAATACATAACCTTGATTTATGTGTGTTTCTGTTTAAAGACAACTTGTTTAATATATATTGTTGATTCATTAACATTGGACTTATGGCCAAGAGCATTACAACGCATGTCTGAATGATGTTTATCTAACACACATATTTTCTCCATAAGGCACATCACAGCCTTCTTGCACTTAGGAGCACTAGACTGTACTTCAGCTCTATGCATGGGGGCCATTTTCAGCAGCAAAATCACCAAGAAAAAGCACACACACCAAAAAAAGGCACTAAACACACTGTGAAAAGAACACTTGTTTGTACTCTGAGAGCTGGCACAAGAAGACAGAGCATCACCTTGCTTGACCTCAGCTGGGAACATGTGTGTAACGTGACTTGAATTTTTCACTACTTTTTACATGTCCCCAAATGATCACAAAAGCACTGCAGTTATTGATTTGGGGCTTACAAATAAATTTTAGCAAGTGGGCAAATTTACAAATATAGAATCCATGAATAATGAAGCTCCACTACATTTATGTAGATATATCAGCAAAGACATAGTCACAGACATATAGGTAAAGATATCAACATGTTCATACACGAAAACATAGGTATATGGATATAGCCATAGCCATTCCACAGACACAGACACATACAGATACAGACTTCAATACATATACACATATATCTACTTATCAGATTGACAAAGATTGATAGTATATAATATTGGAGCAAATGATTAATTAACAACCTCTTTCATACAATCTTGATTTGAATACAAATTACTACCAACATTAGAAAGGGAGTGTGGAAATAACTATCAAAAATTTAAAAGTGCATATACTTCACTGAAAAATCCACTTTTAGAAATCTATCCTATGAAATAATTGTAGAAGTGATCAATTTTACAAGTACAAGTATCTTCAATCTGGCATTGTTTGTAATCATGAAAAATTAAAAATAATCAAAACAGCCCTTGAGGAGAACTGGTTAAATACATTATAGTCCATCAATACAATGGAATATTAGGCAGTTGTTAAAAATAACGATCTGCATGTGGCAACACAGAATGATGCTCGTAATATGTGTGAAATAGAAAAAGGAAATTGCATTATAGCGTGAAAATTGTGAAGTAACCTTGTTGAATCCAAATATATATGGTTGTATATATTTCATTTACATTTCAGTGTAAACATTTTATTTTATTTATGCATACAAGATAGCTGAAATGATATCAACATTGGTTGTCTCTGAGTCATGGGCTGGCTTTTTGCTCTCAGATCCCTCTCCCACATCTCTCTGTCCTTTACTGCATCACAAGGAACTACATATCTTTGTGTCCCTTTCCCTCTGGTTCCCAAATAAGTTCAAGTATTTGGAGGCAATGTTGTAAGATTAGACGGTGGGAGGAGGGGAGAAGCCAGGGTCTTTCCTCCACTTACTGTCTGCTTTGGGCCATGTCTCCAGCAGCAACAGTAGCTCCTCTGCTCCACCTCTGAAGTCTAGTGAGGCTTTTCCTTTGTGGCTCCATCTCCCACCAGGCTGACCTATTATAGTTCCAGCTTCCACTATCAGTATCTCATCTTTAATGACAATGGCCCCTCTCTTTATCCTGTCAGCCTCAGTGTGGCAGCAGTTTCTGCTTCTGCTAATGTCTAGATTGCCTTATGCTCCCTCTTTGGATCCTCAGATCCTCAATGACCCTCCTAAGTAAGCCCTTGTATGAAATTTCCTCTGCGTAAAATACCTAGAACAATTTCTCTTTTCTGACTGGAACCTGACTGACACGGTAATTGGATGGGGAGGAGGGAAAGTACTGTCAATGCTGCTTGTTTGACAAAATAACACAATACCGGGGGAAAGGGACCATTCTAAACATTTTCTTCCAAAAAATGAAAATCTGAGGAAACTTCACATTTTACAGTGATCACAGAGTAATAAAAGAAATTGTCTTTCAACCATAAACATTATACAGTAAATGACTACTGTAATCCATGATCCTTCACCATCCTAAATAATAAACTTCGCTTAACATTCATTACTGTTTCATTTCAAACTAGAAACAAATCAAACCTTACAGTCTTTGGCCCTGTTTGATCTGTGGCACCACGTTTTCATATGGCATGTTGTTCTGTCTCCTAATTTGGTTGATATGCTGACCTTACAGGAAAGACCTACCTAGCTATCTCTGGAGGGTCATCTCAGATTGTCCAAGATTAAAATGATGGATAATGTCCAATGCAGGTAAAGGTATGAGAATACCTGGACTTAAATACTTTAATTTGGCATCTTGCAAGATTTTCCTTAGTTATCACTACACTATAGATTCTTAGAGAGCAAGGATTATTTCTTGTTTTTCTGTAAACTCAGTTTACAGTACACTATCTTGGACTTAACTAGGTGTTCAAAAAGATATTGTCTTGGTGTGCCCTGAAGTTCACTAAGACACCATTCCACTCTTGACCAGGAAAGGGATCACATTTCTCCTCTGCTACTTCTAGGGCTTAAATAAACACCATCAAAATTAAAATGGACTAGAGTGGGGATACTCCATCCTCAGTCTCAGACACTCTTCATCACATCCTGAAATATTGAAATATCACTAGATTTACAGGCTCAGCTTATATTCTACCTGTGTTCATGAAACACTGCAGATTACCTTGCCCAAAACTGATCTTTCTTCAGTCTAAATTATTTTTACAGAACTTATCATTATCTACTTTGGATAATTTATATACTTCTTCTCTTCCTTACTGAATTATAGGATTATTCCCAACACTTAATAAAGACAGGAATCAGGTCTAATATATTACGAGACCTCCGAAGTACAAGCACACTATTTGCTAATATAATTTATTTGTTAGATGGAAAAATGAATGAATGAATGAACAAAAGAGGCATAGATTAGTCCAGACAAAAAGAGTCCAAAGCCTGAAAGATAAGATCTGTTATGTTTAATTTAAACCTATGCAACATTTTTTTTTACCATTAGTAAGAATTTATTTTAATATTAGCCTAAGTAAAACACAATCAGGAAAATAAATCTACAGAAACATTATATAATGCATCCCAAGTAAAATGTTTAGAATATTCAACATTTTGGGATAACATAATTGAAAATAAATCTTTATAGTGAACGCTCTATTTTTATGGATGAATTATATCTAAACTTTCTACCAGAAAACTATCAATACTTATGGATAATCTAGTTTATTTTATAGGTCTTGAGACCACTTACCATAATCAGAATTTCATAAAGTAACTATTTTGAGTTATGTGAATTTTAAAACCATATATTTAGGCCATTATACACATCAGATCAATTATTCATTTGTAAAACTAATTTTATAAGGGCATAAATTCCTCTATGATACTACAGTAAATATTTCAATACCACTGTGAGAGGGGGGGTCCTTAAAAAATAACAGCAAGTCCTATTGGCACAAGTGCTTTTTGATTTACTCTTCCCAAACCAGTAAAGCTTTGACGTTGGGCAAGATTATTTTTGTCACTTTCTATATATATTTTATAGGAAAACAGTGAACACAACCACTCCACTCTACTACTATTATCTTCAGGATAATAGTAGTTTCTCAAAGTACAATAGATCAACTGACTTGATAGTTAATCTTTTTAAGGTAATTACTGAGCTTTTTATTTCACAGAACACAATCCATCATTTTTGTTGGTCTTTTTTTTTTAATTTGGTTCCTTGGATTATGAAGCTAAAGATTCTGACTCAAATTTTTTTTTTACAAGTTTGTTACTGTTTCATTTTTTACTCTAATATCAAATTAACTACATTTGAGGTTTCTGTCAAAGTTTTCATATTTAATTCATTTTTTTTCATGATTCCAAATCCATTTGGGTTCTAGGATAAAACGTGTGAATGCTCCCTACATATTTCTTTTACTAAAATATGAAGATTAGGGAAAAATCTAATAAATTTGTGAAATTGCATTTAGAATTTGGACCCAAATGCTAACATTCACACCATAAAATTTTCTATACATTCTACAGATGTAGGAGGCTTATTAATTCATATTATTCTACAAATATATACTCTATAGTTAATTTGATTTAACCACATTCCATAAATTGAATTTGAGGGGTGTTTTTAAAGTGTGGAGAGTTTAGTGTTTATTTTTGTAATCCAACAACTTTATCCAAAAATGCAGAAAATTTTTCTGGCTGGCCAGGAGGAAAGCATTTCAGTGTTGAAAAGTCCATTGACTGTAACAGCCCAGGAAGCATGCTGCAGGTACAGTAGAAGAGATGCCCATCTTTGTGTAGCTGCTTTGCCAATTCCAGCTGATGATTGTTCATCAACTTTTCATTTATAACCACTGTGAGCGGCTTTCTTTTTTCCAGACTCTCCAAACAGCTTCCTGCACCTGCGTGACTAATAACAAGATCTGCTTTCGGAAGGTCTTCTTTCAATGAATCCTTGTATCTGTAAACATCCAGAGTAAGTGACTCCGTACTGAGTGGTTCAGGTACCACCTTTCCTCTACCTATTTGTAGGACAAGTTGGTTGTAACGGAGGCTCTAGATTATCACGTCGTGAAAGAAATGGCCCCGCAAGAACTAGGACACCACGCAAAGACTCTGAAAAAGGTGTCGCAAACTAGGGAGGGAGAGCAAGGAACAGGGTCTGTCGTGGCCCACAGCTGGGGTTGCGCGAACCACGAGCCCTGAGAAGGCGCGCTCGGGGGACGCCGTGCCGCGCGGGGACGCCGGCCGCGAGGGTGCCTGAGGCGGAGGTAAGGCGCGGCAGCCTCGGCCTGAACGCCGGGGCAGGGCCGGGGCAGGGCGCCCAGCAGAACCGGCCGGGTCTTGCTGGGCAGAGCCCGTCGGAGCGTGACCACCGCGCGGCCCCGAGCGGGCCCGGGCGCGGGAGTATGCAACATTTTTTAATCAGTCACATATTTAATCATTTTGTTAGCATGTTTTTTTTTCATAATTGCATGAACTTTCACATCTTTATAATGCTGTTAACTTTTTGAAAATATTTTTAGTATCATTATGAAAATGTCACAAAGTGAAAATTGTTATTGCCTCCCACACCTATAATTTCTAAACATGGTTAAAATTACAATAACAGGATTTTCACTGATTTTGGATTATAGTCTCTAACAATTAAAACAATTTCTAAATAAATGCATTTTATATCTGGAGTTGAATATTTTACAAGCATTCCTCTGTGATTTTATAGCAATGATGAAAATTTTAATATTTTTTTGTCATTTAGAAACCCTCTGTCTGATTAACCATAAATCAACATGGGTCATTAGCCTGGAAATAAGGATATCACTTACCTAATTCTAACCTGGTATTTCATAAGATTTCTCATGTTATTGTTAGAGGCAAGATGAAGGAACGTGGGCTGGATGAAAATACAGTTAAGTTGAATTTATAGTTGTTGAACAACCAGATCCAAGAGGTATCAATTCCTGGATTAGTCACCATGGAGAGAGATCTCTGGTGGTCTGTCCAGTGAACTCTGTTTTATCAGTGGGCTTGATGAATATATTGACAGAATTCATATTGGTTTACAGATTATGCAAAGTCCAATATATGTAAAGACCAAAATAGTTTTTCAAATACTTTGATATGCTTGAAAAATAATTACAAACCAAAATGAAAAAATTTTAACTGTACATAGGGGGAAAATACATCTTAACATTTAGGTTAAGGAGTTGCCATTGCTTTAACTGCAGTATAAGGTCATGTGGAAGGGCCTCAGGCAGAACTATATCCAAATACCTCTTTTTCCACATGCTACTGCCTTTGTGAACTTGTGAACTTAGGCAAGTGCTTAACTCTCTAAACTATCTATACAATAGGAAAAACAATTCCTGGTTGGCAAGGTTTTTAGAATAGAATTAGTAGTGTGCATGGTATGTAGTAAGCATTCACTGATGGTACTATAATTATTACTGTAATGCCAAAAATAAATCTAAACAAAACCAAAGGTAGTTAGACCCTAATTCAATGGAGGTGACGTATGCTGGCCTGAACACATCTGGAAAATTTTGCCCCATGCGAGACACTACACTTCAGAAGGAATCCTGGAGAAGATCCAGAGAAAATCTAGACAAACCCATTTACAAAAAGAACTTTTGAGGAAACTGGGTATTTCTGTCTTGAGAGGAAAGCCTAAAGAGATATGATAGCTGTCTCCAAATATTTTGAAGTATTATGTTGTGGAGGAAGTAGTATTTTTAGTCAGTGTTATTCCAAGAGGCAGAAGAAAGACCAATACTTGGAAGTTTTAAGAAAATTAATTTTGTTATGATCTGAGGACCCTCTCAACGATGACATCTGTTCACCAATGAAGCAGGCTGCTTCAACACACACCATGCTCCCCTTCTTTTAAATATCAGGGAACTTATAAATAAAATTCATTGTACAGCTGGGAGGGCATTTTTAGATGTGTTATATTACTTAAAACCTCTCATTAACCCTGTAAGTCATGTATTATCATTCTTTTCCCCATTTTTCAGATGATAGACTATGTTTGACTTGCCCCAAATCACACTGATAATAAGCGTCAGGTCCATATTCTCAGAGTCCAAAATCTGTGCTTATTTCAGAATATAAATGTAACTGAGGGTTTCATAAGCTGGATGTGAATCTGTTAAAGAAGACATCTACAGCCTTAAGAATCATGAATTAATAATCAATATATTTAAGTTTTCAGGCCACATCCAGTCCGATTCCACTCTTGTCTACAAGCAGTTCTCCCTTTATGTATACTATGTGTAGGGCATGGAACATTCATTATTTCCTTTGATTTGTACAGCAACCCTGTGAGGCAATAGGGCAGGTATTATTCATGTTTTATGTATACAGAAACCAAAATTGTGAGAAGCTAAATGATTTAACCAAGGTCACAGAGCTCAATAATGACAGAGGGAGAAACCAGAACTTCTGACTCTGTACATACTGTGCTTTCCACTACAATAGTCACCATAAAATTACTTAAAGATTCAAGACTTCTATAATGGACTAGGATGTGTGGGTACAGATAATTGTTGCAAAAAACTGAGTAACCAACACCCTCACCTAAAATTATTTTTGTCAGTAGATTCTTTATATACAATATACTTGACAAAATTCCAAATTTATAGAACTGCGAGGTAGTTTTTCAATTAAGTAGAAAGCTATATAAATGTCTCTTTAAATTTTATTAGATGACACAATTTATCTTATTAACATATTCAGTATTTCACAACTCTTAGTCAGGAAATGCTTCCTAATTTATGACCCCAATTCCTCCTGCTCCAGTTTCCATCACATTCCCTCATGGCCTGTCCTCTGTGGAAAAAGAAACAAACAAAAAAGCTTCTTGTACATTTCCTTTCATCTCTATAATCATCACTAAATTATTAAAATAAGGCTTCACTATGTTAAATCTTGCTTTAATATTCTGACATTGTCACCTATTGTGCTTAGATCTCTCTTTATAAAAATAGTACCTTTATTTAGTCCATTCTTGCATTACCTAAAAGACAAGGTCATTTGGACCAAATTTTTAATTACTTATATACTTGTTTTCCTCAAGAATATCACAAAATAGTAATCATGTTGAAATAACTTCAGCTTCCCTGTATGATTGTGAATATTTGAGTAAGGGGTAGAGATTTTTAGAGTTTAGGTAAGAACCTTTGTTACAACTGAAAGCTACAGAGTTGCCCTTTACTTCCTAGAGTCTCAACTCAAGATGCCCCCAAAAAACAGTTAAGAACTATATTCCATTATTATGATTGTGTAACAAATCACCCCAGAGCATGGTGGGGTAAAACAACCATATATTATGCTTAAAATTTTATGGGTCAGGAATCTGGATAGAGAACAAGAGGGAGAGCTTGTCTTTGCTCTACAATGTGGAGCTGGAAGACCCAAAATTTGGGGGCTGGTATCATCTGAAGGCTCATTACTCAAAGATCTGGTGTTGATGCTGTTGGTTGGGAGCCTCAGTTATTCTCCATTTGGGCTCTCCAAGTGGTCTCTCCATCCACATGGCTAGTTTGTGCTTTCTTACATCATGGAGGCTGAGAACCAAAGATAAACTTCCCAAGAGTGAGAGAGAGCCAGTATAAGCTGTAATATTTTCTGACCCAGCCTTGGAAGTTCCACAGTATTACTTTTACCATATTCTATTGGTTGGAGCAGTTACCAGCCCCAGATTTGTGGAGAAGGAATATTTATGTTTCCACCTCTTCAGATGGAATGTTGGTCACATTGTTAGCAGAGCATATGGAAAGTATGTATATAGACATGCAGCCATATATAGAAAGTATCATCTGCCACTGTGAACCCTCTGTCCATAACATTCTACATCCCACCCACATGCAATATACATTCATATCTTGTCAAAAGATGTCCCATGACAGAACCAAGCTCAAGGTCCAGAATCTCATTATCTAGATCAGGTTCAGGTATAGATGAGACTCTTCAGGTATGGTTCCTTAAGTACAGGTATGGTTCCTTAAGTACAGATCCTCTAGTACTGTTTCTCTCAGTTTGAGGACCTATAAACCAAAACCAATTTGTCTGCCCCCCCATACACCCAATATGCAATGGGTGGACAAGTTGAGGATAGTCACTATACACCCTTCAGTTCAAAAACAGGAGAAGGTGGAGGCACACTGGAGTCACAGGTCCATAGCAATTCTGAAATCCAGCCAAGCACATGTTGCTAGTTCCTCAGGTCTCAGTCCTACTGCCCGGGATATGGTTCTTGGCTCTGCCTTCTAAGTTCTTGGTTCCACCCCCTGAGTCATTCTTCCTTTTCTATGTAAAGAAATACCCTGTGTCTGCAGCTTGGTAGTTTTTGCAGCTTGTTTCCTACCTGCAGATATTTGGAGACCCAATAGTCTTCTTTTCGTTGAGTACTTTCTCTGCCCCTTTCAGTCCAAAGTGATATAATTTTTAAAAAACTGTACATTTCCTGTGAATCAATTTATGATCTTCCCAACAAAACCATACTCATAAATCTCTTCAAGATAAGACCTCTCTACATTGGAGAGGAACAATGCCCTAAAGATTGTTAGACTCTTAGTCCTATTGTTTGACAGAGAGATAGAATGGTCCTCCAAGACACCACCTTAGATCTTTCTGAGCTCTTAACAAAGTGTCTTATAGTCTCCTCTTGCATATACTCTGCTCTGAAACCTTTTCTTAATTTGAGAATATTGGAGTGAGAAACTTTTTTTCAAACTTAATAATTACTGCTCTTTTATATTTATATTTAATAGTACTTCCTGTGTAGTTTATCTCTTATGTTTTACTATAAGCATCAAAAGGAAGCCAAGTGGCAACTTCAACATTCTGTCTGGAAATCTCTTTAGCTATATCATCCAACTCACTAGCTGCATTTTTTACTTTCCATGTTACCATAGGTGATGGCGCAAAGTTTTCTACCACTATATAACAAGGAATAACAAGGATCATTGTTAGAAGAAAGAAACCTCTTTCCTCTAATTTCTAGCAACATTTTCCTCACTGTCCCTTAAGGTCTCATTGGCAGCCTCCCTTAGGGCCTTAACAATCTCTTCAAAGCTCTTCCAACTTCTGCCTGTCTTCTTATTCCAAATCCACTGCCACATTTTAGGTTTTTGTTATATTGGCACCCCACTTCCAGGTACCAAACCCTGTTGCAATTATTTAATGGTAGAATACAAATTATTCCAAAACTTAGTGGTATAAAACACTCATTGATTATGCCACAGTTTCTGTAGATAAAGAATTTGGTCAGGGCTCTAACAGGCATTTCTTTCACGGGGTTTCTCAGGCAGCTGCAGTTAGATACTGGCTAGGGTTGCTGTCACCTGAAGGTTCAGCCAAAACTGGAAGGCCCACTTCTAAGATGGCTGACTCACTCCCATGGCTGGCAGTTTGGAAG